TTTTTTTTTTTTTTAAACATAAATTTGATAAACGAATTCGAAACGAGAAAAAAAAAAAATTTTTTTTGATATATTTTCGACTCGTGCGTTGGAGGCGGGGCGGGGCGAGGGTAGTTAGCGAATAAAGTAAAATTTATTATTGTCAGATTTTCAAAAAAAAAAATCTCACCGTAAGTTTTTAATCGTCTGACTACGCTACTGACTAGTTAAAAAAATGTTTATTTTTTTTTTTTCGTAATGATATACACACAAAAAAAAATGGCGGAAAAAAAATTTAAAAATTATAATCGATAACAAATTGTAATTTACTTTTTTTTTTTATCAACGTTAAAATTTTTACAAAAATCGACGAAGTTATCAAAAAACAATATTATTATTATTATTATTAAAGAAAATTTTTTAAAACTATTATTATTATCATCATCATCATCATCATCATCATCGCGATAAGTTACAATGAATTTTTTTTTCTTCGCGTTTGTTTAAATAAAAAAAAAATTTTCATCATCATCATCATTGTAATCAACATATCAGAATATTTTTACTTGTTCTCTCGTCTTAACCTTATTATTTTTATTACCGTAATAATAATAATAACAATAATAAATGCCTTATTTAACATACAATAGCATTCGGATGAGTAAAAAGTAAAAAAAAAAAAAAAGGTTATATACGGAAAATGTGAATTTCCTTCAAAACGTGCCTTAATTTTAAAATTAAACGTGAAAAATTATTACCATGAAAAGGGGAAGGGGAGAGAGAGAAGAGGGGAGCGCGGGGAGATGGTAGAGGAGGAAAAAGGGAGGAGTAGGAAACGGAAAGGTTAAGTAAGAAATGGAAAATATGAAATTCGCGTTTTATAATTTACTCGATGCTTATTCCACGCACACCCACTCACGCACGCACGCACACTTAAATGAATGACAAACCATCAAAATTTTCTTATAATAATAATAACAATAATAATAGTAATAATAATAATAATAATAATAATAATAATAATAATAATAATAATAATAATAATAATAATAATAATAATAAAACTCGATATAATCATTATTTTCAGGTAGAAACAAAATTAAATTAACGTTTTTGAGTTTTTTTTTTTTTTTCGCATCCGCGTGTATGTGTTTGCGTGTGAAACGTTTGACCTTTGACCTTATAGTTAAACCTTTTGTTCGTTTATTATTATTATTATTAAAGGGGAACGACGACAGTAATAGTTCGGTGAAATTATTTATTTATTCTTTTTTGTTACGTCGTTTTACATTCGAAATTAAAATTTATTTATTTAATAAAAAAAAAAAAAAGAAAAAAAGGAAAAATGTTTTTCCTTTTTTTTTCATTAAATTTTTAGTGACGTTTACGTGACGTCATTAATTTAATTTCAACACCGTGGTAGTAGTGTAAAAATAATAAAAATATTTTCGAAAAGGAAAACACATACAAACACGCACGCACGAATGTCAAACGAGTGTGTGTGTGTTTGTTTGTGTGTATACATTTACGCACGGTAAATTTTAATACATAAAAATAATTTCGAGTTTAAAAAATTTTTCCTTTTCTGTTTTTTTTCTTTTATTACTTTTATTCTCATGTTTTATTCAAGCCGCCATTTTTTTTTTTATAGTTTGTCATTTCCTGTCTTGTTTTTATTGACAAAAAATTTTGTTTTATTTTCATTTCGCGAATCATTTTTTGACAAATATTATTATTATTACGAGTCGTCAAATCGACATAAATTTTTTTTTATCATCATTAATAATAGGTTATGATATGATTATAATAATAATAATAATTTTTTATTTTTTTTTTAGATCTTTTGCACAGAGTCATTCTCCTCAGCGGTTCGGGATTGAGTCCGTGGGCACTACAAAGAGAACCGCTTTTGATAAAGAGAAAAGTTGCTGAGAAAACGGGTTGTCACGTTGATCTTTTAGAAGACGATATAGCGCCTTGTTTAAGACTAAAACCCCTGTCGGAATTACTTTCCGTAAATGTGGATCCTCCGAGATTTTTAGCCGGTTTTGCACCTTTCATTGACGGTGCCGTATTAACGAGCAATCAATTGTCTGGTGCGTTTCCGGATTCGAGCCTTTTATCCGGCATAAGCATACAGCAACAAGTATCAGCGGGTAGCGGTCCGGGTTACGAATTTGCGGATTTCCCAGAAAAAGACTTGTTGTTTAGCCTTACTTCGACCGAATCGTATTCGGATTTAAGCGCTCAGGATTTAGAATTCGGTTTTAACGAAAGCAGAAGAGATAGAATATTACGGACTTACGTGAGAAATTGTTATTATTATCATTTAAACGAAATATTTTCGACTTTGAAAAACGAATACACGGATTGGGAAAGACCCTTGCAAAATCCATTGAGTGTTAGAAATTCTACTTTGGAAGTGTTGAGCGATGGTCTTACGGTGGCTCCACTTATAAGAGTCGGATATTTGCATACTCTAAGAGGAGGGAAAACATTTTTCTTACATTTTGATCATCAATCCAAAGAAAAAGATTTCCCACAGGTTAATAATAATGATAATAATTTTATTTTAACGAATTATAATTTCGATAATTAATTAATTTGTTTATTTTTTTTGGTAATTTAAAAAGCGAGTCGGAAGTGTTCACGGTGAAGATGTGCCTTACGTGTTGGGATTGCCTTTAGTCGGTGGTCAACCATATTTCCCGCACAATTACAGCTTACAAGATGGTGCCATTTCTAGAACGATAATTAAATATATTTCACAATTTGCAAGACGAGGGTAAGTTTTCTTTTTTTTTTTTTCAATACTAAAAATTTTCCTAGATTTATATACGTAATTTTATTATTTATATTAAAAAAATTTCCCTTTTTTTGTTTTTATTTTATTCGCCGATACTTTCAAATATTGAATACGTAAACAGTAAAAAATTTTAATACCGAAAAAAATATTTTCCATAATAAAAAAAGGAAAAAAATAGTTTTTTCCCTTTTTTTTCTTTTCCTTTCTTTCTTTCTTTTATTTATTTATTTTAAAATTTGTTTTTCTTTCCCCCCTTCCCCCCCTAACGTCACTAGCAGTAGACGTAGTTTTACAAATAAAAAAAAAATATTTTGTCTTTTTTTCTTTTTAGTTTCTCAATAGGAAATGTTTTGTTTTAATAGAATTTTTTTCCGATGTAAAATACATGAAAATTTTTATTTTTATTTCGGGAAGCGAGGGGGGCGAATGCGGGGTAGTCAATCGATCAAAAAGAAAATTTTTTGTAGTAAGGAAATCACTCGAAACACATAAAAAAAATTTTTAACATAATTTTAAAGAGAAAAAATATCCGATGTAAAAAAAGTTTTTTTTTTTTTTTTTTTGAAAACTTTTTTCCCGCGTAATATTAACACGATATTCGCTTTTTTTCTAATCTTAAAAGTCGTGTAAATAGACAAAACTAATTCGGAATGGGTGAATATTTTTTTTTTAAAAAAAAAAAAACTTTTTTACGAATTATTTTGACGTTTGTTAATTTACCCCTCAGGAGAAAAATTATCAAAAACATTATTTCATCATTTGAAATTTTATTAAAAACTATATTTATATTAATATATATTCAAATTATTATAAATATATACACGAAGTCAGTTCAATCCTCATTTCTGTCATAATAATAATAATAACTAACGTTTTTCAGTATATGCAAGTGACAACTCATGCAGGCATGCAAAACTTTATATTCGCATATTACGTCATCAGGCTAAACAACATAATTTTCGTTTTTGTTTTGTTATTCGTATTTTTTATTTCTTTTTCTTTTTCCACGTGAATGTGTCATTTATAATAAGGTGTAAAAAGAAAAAAATTTAAATGTATAATTTTTGTTTGTTTGTTTGTTTGTTTTCAGGGATCCTAACACTTCACCTGCGTCAAAATCAAAATTTCACAATTCTGATATTTTACCTAAAATCAATATTCCAGAACATAAAGATTCGAGTCCGACATTTTGGGACACGTACGATTCAATTAATCAACTTTATTTAGAAATATGTAAGCATAAATTTTTTTTCTTAAAAAAAAAAACGTTTTCTCTCTCTCTGTGTGTGCGTAAGGTGCGTGCGTGCGTGAGTGTGCGTGATAAAAATTTAATTAATTTTTTTTTTATTATTTCCGTTATTTAAAAAAAATCGATTTGTTTACATTCGAAAACCTATTTTAAAAAATTGGGGAGGAGGAGAAGGAGTAAGGGAAAAAAGGAAAAGCCAATATTTATTTTTGAAAAGGTTTAAATGGGGTATTGCTCTTACTACTACTGCCTACTAAAACAGAGAGCTAACAAACAACGAGGCAGCTAAAAAACAATGATTCTCTTGGGCAAACAATCCAAAACCAAACATCCGAAAATAAAACAAAAAAAAAAAAAAATTATCATTCCGAGTTTTAACATCAAAGGTCGTTATCAAATTTTAAAAAAAATAAAAAAATTTCATTTGAAAATGTCTGGAAAAAACGAAGAGGAAAGAAAAACCGGGAGAGAACGTGAAGGGGATAAAAACGGGGAAGGGGAAAAGGGTGGAAAAAAGCAAAAAAAAAATTTTTTTTAATTATTAAAAACGAAAAAAAGAAAAAAAAAATTGTTTTCAACTGATTTAGTTTTATGTTTGCACAACACTTAAAACGTTGTTAAATTTACGACGTATTAGTCCTTTTGTTTTAGTTTTTTTTTTATTACTAAATGGAAAGTAGATTTACAAAGATGGCGGCGGTGAAAAAAAAAAGAATTAACGAAAATAACGAAGCGGAATAATATTAATAAAAAAAACAAAATTATTAATTATAATCTGTATAAAAAATTGAATTGAATTGAAAGTGCCGTTAAAAATCATGTTTTACACGGTATTTAAACATTATTAATTTTTAAATTTTCGCGGGTAAATTCAAAAATTCAAAATTACAAAACCCTTCTTTCTAATTTAATTCGAACGGTCGAATTTATTTTTATTATTTATTTTTTCAAAATGTATAAAAATATTTGATTTAATTAAATATAAATTTAATTTAATTTTTTTTTTTTGAAAAAAAAAGTTAATAAATATAACCTTTTACCTTTTTGCGGGCTCTAAAAAAAATTACGCTACATTTTTATTTATTTTTCCACGTTCTCAAATTTTAATTTAAATTGTTACAAATTGTTTATAACTAAATTTAGTTTAAAAAAGAAAAACAATTTTTATTAAAAAATTTTATTATAATAATCACGTATTTAAACTCTCGTCTTTTCCACAAGATTCCCAGAATCGAAATTTTTCCTTCCCACGTTTTTTTTACCTCGTTATTTACATTATTATTATTATTATTATTATTATTCGTGCTTGAAAGGTATGGTGTGGTGCCATCTTGCAAACGTTTTAATAAATTGTAATAATCAACTTGATTCAACAATAAATACCATTTGTGTACATTTTTTTTTAAAACGAAAACCGCTTTTTAAATATTTTTAATTACTTTAATTAAATAATTAATTAATTTTTTATTAAGTAGCAGACGACACGCCTTTTTTTTTTTAAATTCTAACATCGTCTCAAATGTAAAAAAAAAAAAATCATTAAATACACATAAATTTTTTTTTTTTTTTAAATTAATCCCAGAGCAAAATCATATATTAAAAAATTATTGATTATTATTATTATTACTATTATTATTATTAATATTGTTTTTCTTTTTGGAAAAGTTTTTTCAAGTTTGCATTATATATATTTATATTTGTTATGTTGTTAGATGGGATATCAAATTTTATACATGAAATTAGTTTTTTGAAAACATAAACACAAATAATTTTTTTTTATTATTATAAAATATATTCGAAGGTAAAAAAAGGGGGCAGGGAGAAGGGAGGACAGAGGAACAGGGGGGCGGGCTATCATAACAACCGTCGGTAATATCGTTTATAAAAAAATTTTTAATAAAATTTCATTTTATTAAACGTTTTATATATTTTATTACGTTATTGAAAATATTTTTAATACATATTTAAATTTTATATATATGTATTATATTTTATAAAAACAAACAAAGGAACAAACGAACAAACAAACAAACACGCACACGGATTTATATTTGTCTTTTATATATTCGTTGATATATCAAAATTATATTTAATTTACAAAATTAATTTTATTATTGCAGGTGCAAAAAGATAATTTTATTTTATATGACGTTCGTTTATGTAAATAAATATTTTATTATTAATAATTATTATTAAAATCGATTCGAAAAAATAAATATTATTAATCAAGAGAGGTTTTTTTTTTTATCGAATCGATTTAAATTTAATTAAAATGGTTTTCTTATTATTATTGTTATCATTCATCGGAAAATGGAAAATTATAATTATCGAATTTTTTTTTTTTCCAGCATCTAAAACGGAAATGAAAAGTCATTACAGAGGACATAAAATGTCGCTTTGGTTAAACCTGATACCTCAACTTCACAGACCAGGTGTCGATGATTTAAATATGAGACATCATCACTTTCAAGAGGAAAGTGCTCAATATTATGATGGTAAAAAAATTTTTTTTTTATACTTTCACTTTCTCTTTATTTCCTCTATTAATAATTAATAAGTTATGATAATGATGATAATTTTATTGAAAACATTTGAAGGAAAAAAAAAAGAAAAATGGGGAAAATCGTTTTTTTTTGTTAACACCGTTTTTTGATTGTTGTTGATATTTTGGGTAAAAAGAGAAAGAAAAGGAAATAAACATGGAGTGAGTGTTTAATGATTAACTCAAAACGTTCCAGTTGTTTCATTAACCGTTCATTTGCCTGGAAATGTTGTCAAAACGTTCGGGGATTTAATGCTAAAACGTTCACTTTTATCCGGTATTTCAAATTAATTATTAACACTTTAAACAAAACCTAAAATAAATTCAACAAACACAACAAACTAATCATTAGCATGTAAGAACGTGTTAATTTATAATTTTTTCATTGTTTTCCTTTTTTTCCCTGTTATTAATGAGAAAAACATAAAAAACAAACTCAATAATTTTTCATTTGTGTTTGTGTTTTTAATAACAAAACGAAAAAAAAATCTTTTTAAAAGAAATCACATAAAATTTTGTTTTCTTATTTGATAACAATAATTATTATTATTTGATAAATGATGATGATGAAACAAATTATGTTTTTTTTACAATTAAAATTGTTTGTTTATGTTTATGTTTTTTTTGTGAATAGTTAATTGGTAATATAAAGGATGTCGGAATCTGTTTCGGTAATTTTTTTTTAAACATACATTTCCTCGTGAGGTTCGAGGCCTTCGACACCGAATAAAAGTTTATATAAACTATTAGCGTAGTAATTATTATTATTATTTAATTTTTTTTTTAAATTAGTTTGCCTTTAAGTTAGCGTAACAAATTCAATACGCATAAAAAACAAACAAGAAACCTGATTCGTAAAAAAACAACAACAACAACTTTACGGCACATGGATAATAAGTTTTTAGTTGAACTTTTTTTTTTTTAGTTTTTAAAAAAGTTTTAGTTTTTAGTTGTTAGACTGATTTTTTTTTTTTTTTTCTAAAACTTTTTTTTAGGTTCCGTTCGGCCTCAATCCCTACAATTACCATCGTTTATAATAACATCCACCGTTTCGACAACGCCCGGAACAACATTTAGCACGAAAGATATACCAACGTCAACATCAAAAGATTATCCAACAACAACGGAATGTCCGCCAAACGTAACGGGAAGCGCAGTCAGTCAAAACACGGTCAGACCTTCTAATACAAATAATAACAATAATAATAATAATAATTTGTTTAGAAAATTAGCATCGAGTCACTATCAGAGTTATACGACAGCGTTAACAGTTACAATAGCCGTCGGTTGTTTTTTACTTTTGCTCAATATTCTTATTTTCGCTGGTATATACCATCAAAGGGATAGAAACGGTTTGGATCGTACGAGATAAGAAAAAAGAAGAAATCATGACGTGGGAAGTTGTAGCAGTTCTTCGGACGAAATTGAAACGAAACACGCATTGGCCGGCGTTTCCCCTATGTCGAGCCATCAAAAACTCGCTCCGGATTCGGCAATCGAAATAACATTGCAAGAATTTAAATCATCTCCATCGATAATGAAAAAAATGAATCCCCGTCCTCCGAGTTACGATCCTCCTCCGGATCCGATGAAAATCCCTCATCATCGAATGAGCGGAACAAATTCATCTAGTCCACCGATACCGGAACCTCCGCCGCCACCAAAACATCAACCGCCTCTTTTATTAACCGGGGGAATATTAAGACAACAGGGAACTCCACAAACTCCAAGTTGTTCTAAAAAAAGAGTTCAAATTCAAGAGATATCAGTGTGACAAGAACTTCCCGCACATCACGTGCGGGATTTCAGTCCACCACAAAAAGAACAAATTTCTCTTGTTTAAATAAAGTGCTAATCCACATCGCATCCACAAAAATATTATTATCCTTATCATCTTAACTTTTGTGTTTACCTAAAAAAATATTATTTTAAATATATTCCACGACTTCCACGATTTCGCCGTCCTACCAAAAACGTAATTAAATGTTTAACGGAAATTTGAATTTAAAAAAAAACAATATCTATTTCCTGTATATATACATATGTATATCGATAGTGTTGAATCATTTATGTAATTATTATAAATAAAAAAAAAAAATTTTAATAATTATTAAATTTATTTTAAATATTTATAAATACGCGAAACGGATTTTTATAAAAAAACGTTTTTGACATACTAAAAAAAATATTATTTTTTGTTCGTTTGTTAATGTTTCTTACAACAACAACAAAAGTGAAAAAAAAAACATAACTGCAGTTATAGTTATCACCTGTTAGAAAAGACCTAAAGGTAAATAACAAAAAACTAGATTTTTTAAAATCAAAATACATATTAAAAAACAGGATCTTAATAAAAAAATTTTTTTTTGTTACCAGAGGGAAATTAATAACAACATAGGCCGTTCCAGTTAGTCATGATTATGGTTTACCATCTATGCCTTCAAGTAAATAAATATGTAAACGACCTCAAGAATTTTTTTTTCTCTCTTTGAAAAATTGTGTGATGTGATATCATCCCTTAGGAAATTTATCACCCATAAATTTTTTTTTTTAGTTTTAATGGAAGTATTCATCTTTCTATGAGTACCTGAAGGCCAGGGTGGAGGATCAATTTACTTAAACATTATTTTTCTCTCCCTTTTTTTTTTCTATCCCTATTTCTCCTGCCCTTCCTTTCCCTCTCTCTCTCTCTCTCTCTCTCTCTCTCTCTCTATTTTCCCTTTAAAAAAAATTAAAAGACAAATTTATTGTTCGATTGATAAAGTCTAATAATAATAATAATGTTTACATTTAGGTGTGCGTGAGTGCGTGCGTTCGTGCAGTGAGTGCCCTTGATTAAGAAAAAAAAAATTTATTTTTCCCATTTTTTTTTTATTTTTCCCATTTATTATTATTATTATTATTATTATTATTATTATTTTGATATAATTGAATAAATCGATGAACCTGATAATTTTTAACTAACTGTTTACCGTGATAATGATAACAAATAAAAGGTTAATCTGTTATCATTTTAACCTATCTCATTGTAATTGATTTTTTATTTTGATTGTAGAATTGATTGATTCGAAAAAACAATTTTTTGTTTTTCTAATAAACAAGTGTGAAGTTCAAGTCATATTAAAACAAACAAAAAAACAAACAAACGACAAATTATTTTTATTTTTTTCTCATTCAACAACAATACTATTAATAATAATGATAAATATTTTAAAAACATCTCATTTGTATAAATTATTATTATTTATTTTTAAAAAAATTTTAAACGACAAATAATAATAATAATAATAATAACGACAATTTTTTTTAATGAAGTTTTCTTTTTTTTTTTTTTACGTGAATTGAAAAACAATAAAAAAAAAAAAGGCGGGGCCGGTTTTCAAAAAAATTTGAGATAAATTTGATTTTTTCTTTATGAAAAGAGGAAAATTTAATAATGTATTTTATGTTTACCTTCGAAAAAAAAATGGGCGACAATTAAATTACGCTAATATATAAATCATTTCGTATAATGTATACCTACGTACATAAATAAATAATAAAACCACGTGTTTTTCTACGTGTCATGTGAAAAAAAAAAAAAAACGTTTTAAAAATATTTAACACCCAGGGAAATAATATAAATTAAATACCTAATCATTGAATCGAAACACACACACACACAGACAATTGTGAAAGTCATTTATTATTATTATTATTATTATTATTATTATTATTATTATTATTATTATTATTAACGACGTCACCTACGCACATAAAAAAAAAAAAAAATTCGAATAAAGAGTGCAATGACAGTTTTTTTTTTTTGAGTTCGTGCGAAAGAACAAAGTTCATAATAAAAATTTAACGAATGAGAATTTTCGGTTTTTTTTTCTTATTGTTTGTTAACATTTTTTTTTTTTGTTTATAAACATACGAATGGATAAAACATAAATCAGGTATAAACATACGAATGTGTTTTCTGTGTGTGTTTTACAACATTGTTTGTTTTATTGTTTTTACTTAAAAAGTTAATAAAAAAAAAACTTCGCGAAAGTTAATTTTTTTTTTTTAACATTAAAAATAATTTAAATGAAAAATGACAAAGTTACGATTCGCCGCGGGGGGTAGAGGGTAGAAAGGGGGGACGGTGAGAGAGGAGAAAAAATATTAAAAAAAAAGTATCATCGATTTTAGGGTGACACAACACAACAACATTCGTAACAACCAGTTTATTTTTCGTTTGTAAGTATAGCGATTTACGTAAAAAAAAACACGTTATAAAAACAACTTGCGCGACGCACACGCACACGCATACGCACACGCACACACACACACGATAATTTTCATTATTAAATTTATTGACACGAAAAAAAAAAGAAAAGTATATCGGTGTCCATATTGTAAAAAAAAAAAATTATTTAAATTAATGATCGATCGAACACGTGATCGGTGATCGACAAACGAGTTATTATTATCATAAGGAAATAAAAAAAAGGTATCCTCCAAAAAGATACGATATCATTTATTTTAATAACGCGCGTGTGTGCTTTCTATTAAAAAAAAAAAATAGAAAGGATAAAAACTTGCAAATATGAATTTAAAACTTTCATAACTAAAAAAAAAAAAAATTTTTTTTTTTTTATTTTAACATTCTAAATTAATAGTTTAAAAAAATTCGTTATATTAGTCGTATGCAGAATTCATAATTAGTCATTAGCGTAATAAATTTTTTTCTACTTGGAAAAATAAACAAAACAAAGATGGCCACTTTGTTGTGTGTGTGTTTTGTTTGGACGTGACTTTAAATCAAAACGTTTATTCTATGAATTTACCGTCGTTTTATATTTGGTAAGTTAATTCCGTTTTTAAATTTTTTTTAACTAGTTTTTATTATTATTATTATTATTATTATTATTATCATTATTATTATTATTATTATTATTATTATTATTATTATTATTATTATTATTATTATTATTATTATTATTATTATTATTATTATTATTATTAATATTCACATTAGAAAAAAAAAAAAAAAGAAAAATCAAAGTACATATTTTTTTTTTTTTGTTTATAATTGAATATATTAATATCACGTTCGACGTTCTACGTAAACATGAACGTTTGACGTTTTATTATCATTATTATCATCATTATTATTATTAATAATTTTTTCATACTCGCGTATGTGAATTTTCAGGTGTGTTGTTGTTTTTTTTTCATCATGTGTTTGTGTTTAGATTTTTTTTTGTAAATTCGTTCCGAGAATTTTTCCTTTTTTTTTTTTTTTTTATTTTATTTTGAAATATTTAATGTAACCGGATTGAATTCATTCTCAATCAATCATTCATATTATTCGGACTTGTTTTGATTGCAATCTGTGCGAAAAAAAATACCCCAAGAACTAGAAATATAAATTCTTTCAGGTTTGTATTACTACATAGTACGTCATTATTATTATAACTATTAATAATAATAATAATAATAATAATTTTATGTTATTTGTTATTGTTATAATTAGTGTCATAACTCAAAAAGGTTTATGTTCTGAACCTCTTTTTCTGAACAAGAAAAAAAATACCGGATTATTTTTAATTTATTATCGTGAATTATTACGTGATAAAAAAAAAAAAACCTGCGAAAGTTAAATTTCAACCTGATTCCGCCGTTATGGTAGCCACCTTGAATAACTGAGAGTTTTTATTATTATTATTATTATTATTATTAATATTACTTTAAGGTACACGACTTCTTTTGTAAGTCGATGATAAACCTGCCTGATCGATTTTTTTTTTAAAGTATTATCGAATCAGATTAAATTGATAGAATTGGAAATTTTTTTTTGGGAGGGGAGGTTATTCAATTCATTTTAGGTTTTATCACGGGTTACCAACTTTAAAAAAAAAAAAACGTGCGATTTAATTATTATTATTTGAATATAATTATCATTTAATTATTTTTTATTTAAATAAATATATTTATGTATAAATAATTTATGTTCTGAGAGAGAGAGAGAAAATCAAAACGTACATACATACATACATAATTCTTTTTTTTTTTCGTTAAACAATTTATTATTCAAACGTAAATAACATGTATTTAATATTTTGAATTAATAATGATGATTATGGTGATTGTAATAATAATAATAATAGTTAGGATTCGTTCAAAAGTAAAAATTTTCTTTTGGGTCTGATTGCCCCCCTTTTGTTGTCGTCATTCATTGTCAACGAACGTCATTCATCATAAATAAAATTTTAATTTGACTTTTTTTTTTGTTTTAACGTATAACTGCAAATTATATATATTTTTATGCACTAAAAATTTAAACCAGAAAGAAAAGAAAGGGCAGAAAGAAAAGCAGACGAAAAAAAGTAAATTTTTTTTTTCTTCTGCTTATCGTGAATAATTTAAAATTGCGTTTTTTGAGTTTATGAATTCGATCGGTCGCGTTATAAAAAAAAAATTTTTTTTTTTTTTTCTTTTACTTAACATTAACCGCCAAGAGTTTTCAGTGTTAAATCGGACGTTCGCGTTCGTCGTGCATCGAATCATTATTATTATTATTATTATTAATTTTTTTAATAATTAAAAATAAAAATAATTCGTACGTTAAATTATGTTAGTTAAAAATAAAATTTTTAATTTTTCATGTTAAATAAATACGAGTTTTTTTTAAAATATTATTATTATTATTATTATTATTATTAGAAAATTATGTATTATGTTAATTATGTAATTATAATAATAATAATGATGATGATATTGGCAATGAAAAAATTAATTTGAAAA